TTTCCATGCCCATGCCCAAAATAGGAATAAGTGCTCTTGTTATGTGAAAACGCTGTCAAATTATCATGTGGAGAATTGGCCTTTTCTTATTGCGTGAAGGTTATTTCCCTCATGAATATGAATGAGTAGAGAGAGTCAATCTGGATATAATGCCGTGCAAATTTCAGCTTTCTGTGGCATACATTTTAAATTGAATGTCTCTACGATCTCATTGATATAAATGAGCAAAATGTAGGCGATATAGTTATGCGTGTTAGTCAGTGTGAATATTCAATGCATATTTCAGCTTTTCAAGCTACCATTTAAGAGATTTAAAGTTTATTTTGATTTGATGCAATTTTTCAACATTTGGCCCTCTCTATGGCCTAGTCTACTTAAAATTTTCGTTTTTAACTACTTGACGTGGATGACAAGATATTTCGCACAAGATATCTTGCAAAAGCACCTTGTGTTCTGCAATTGGTCTTGAGTTGTTTCATACTGCAGAACATCCTTTTGTTTTATTATAAGATCCCTCGACAGTTGGAAATCGAAAAAGAGCAGGCTAATGCTGCTGTCCTGGCAAAATTTCCCTCATGGCACCCTGCATGGCGTTGCCCGTCTTCATTAGCCCACAAGGTGTAGAAGAGTAGGACGTAAAACTCCATTCATTTCATTTCATTTGTAAAGGCAATAGAGACAACAGTTTTTATACGCCCACATGAATATGTGGTCGTATATTGTCGCGTCGGTCCGTCTGTCAACATTTTGTTGTGAGCACTATAGAGACTACAGTTTTCATCTGATTTTTATCAAACTTGTTGTGATGCTTTAGATTGATAAGATCTCGGACAAGATCGAATTTGACATATTTTCGATGAAAGGTTTTTGAGATATTGCCCTTGACTTTGTAAAAATGCATCAAAATTTGTTAAAAATAGTTCGTGAGCAGGATTGAAGCTACAGTTTTCAACCGATTCTGATGAAACTTGGTGTGATCATTGGAATTGATAAGATCTCGGACAAGTTTTAACCTGACACTTTTTCAATAAATGGTTTTTGGGTTATTGCCCTTGACTTAGTAAAAACGCGTCAAAATGTGTTCGTGAGCACAATAGAAGCTACAGTTTTCAACCGAATCTGATCAAACTTGGTATGATCATTGGAATTGATAAGATCTCGGACAAGTTCTAACTTGACGCATTTTCGATGAATGGTTTTTGAGTTAGTGCCCTTGACTTTGTAAAAACGCTTCAAAATTTGTTTGTGAACACAATAGTGACTACAGTTTTCTACTGATTTTAAAGAAATTTGGTGTGATCATTTATATTGATGAGATCAAGTTTGAATTTGACTTTCTTTCGATGAACAGTTTTTGAGTTATTGCCCTTGTCTTATGAAAAACGCGTCAAAATTTGGTTGTGAACACAATAGAGAGTACAGTTTTCATCCGAATTAAATGAAATTTGGTATTATCATTTATAATAAAAAGATCTTCTTAGTCAAGATTGAATTTGACAATATTTCGATCAACGGAATTGGACTTAATAAAAATGCATCAAAATTTGTTGGTGATAGAGGTGACAGTTTATGTCAGAATTTTACTAAATAATGTGTGTTTGTTTAAATCAACAATATCTTGCACTTGGTTTAATTTGACACAGATGAGTGACCGCCCTTGATATACTGAAAATGTATCAGGAAAGTGGGCGTATCTTGCTAGGCAACCACTTGTTTACGATCCTAAAAGAATTTGCAGATGTTAGAAACAGAGTCAGTTGTTTCCCTTTCCATGATCTCGTCAGATTGATTGAAAATTAGTTAAGAAATAGGTTTGAAGGCTTGTACCAAAACTTGAATTGTGTTAAATCGTAAAAACAAACCAAGAGACAAATGAAAAACTAAGAAGGGGTGAAATAACATTTCAATCATTAAATAACATGCTTTTAGCTTGTTTGAAAGGACAGAAATGTTGGATGCTGCAAAAACAGATTAGATAACCAATTTACCAATTTTGAAACCTTTTATTGTGTTACAATAGTGACATTGGTGATATAGACCAGTTAAATGCAAAATGCAAATCTTTTCATAAGCATGTGAAATGGTATGAGAAATTGTTTGACTACTTGCTGGATCTAACAAGTATAAATTCATTTTTGCTGTCCAAAGCTTGGCGTGGGAAATCATCACTTCAATTTAAACAATCTCTTGATTCTCAAGTTATTGTTGACATGGTAGACTTTACTCTCTTTACCCAGTCCACCACACTTGCTGGGACGACTTTCCTATCCTACGTAGCTGCTACAGAGAAGAAGAAATACTGGTTCCCTACAAAGATATGTGAACCCTGTGCAAAAAGTAGTCTTAAGATCTAAGTCCCAAAAAGTTTACCAAAAACTAAATTTCATATTCAAAATGAACTATGAATTAGCTGTGGTTGTTAAAAATTATTGCTGTTTTGATTGGATGTTTTGTTTTCTACTGTTTGTGCCATACTTTTTTGGTAATATTGGTGTTAAATGGTGATAGTCTCATGAAAGCACTGGCCAAGGTCACAAAGTAAAGATTTATGATAAAACAAGGAGCAAGTTAAAGGTTAAGATAATTAGATATGTTAACTAAGGATTTCTTTGTAATACCATGTAGTATCATTTCTTTAGTTGAATTTTGTTGGAATTATTGATATTATTGCTGATTATCTATTCATATTTGTAATTTACATTAAAATAACACAATAATAAAATGTCAAAATAGTGCTGAAGATTGCATAACATGAGTAATGTTACATGATCCTTGTTCTGGAAACTTGGTGTGAGTGTTTGTAATCACCTTAGGATGAACTCTATTGAAAATCAGAAATCAAAAAATAATTAGTACCAGTATGAGTTGTTGCCCTTGTTCTTGAAAACTTGTTTTATTTTTAGCTCGTAATCACTGACAGAATTTGACAAAACTTTATGTGAGAGTTTATCACCCAAAGATGAATTCAATTGAAAATCGACAAAATCGAAATATATTTAGATTAGAGTTATAGCCCTTGTTTGAAAACACGTTCAATTTTTAAACCGTAAACACTCTAGAAGGCACAATTGTTGACAGATTTTGATAAAACTTGGTGTACGGTGTGTTTGTCATCATCCAAGGCTGAACCCAATTGAACATAAGAAACATCTAAAAATACTTAGTATGATTTCTTTGTCTAGTTTTGTCCAGGTTAAAACTGTAATTTCATTGTAAAATATAAGAATCATAACTTGGAAATTAATTGTGTATAATTAAATACCTTGGATAAAAGAAAAAGATAAAAAAAAAACTGGCCGGTTAAAACCGTAATTTCCGTTTATATTACCATAAATGCTGTGACCTCATCACCAAAAAATTAGGCATAGTAATTTTTATACGCCCACATGAAATGGGGGGCGTATATTGCCGTCACCCCTGTCCTTCGGTCCGTCCACAATTGCTCGTAAACACTCTACAAGACACAATTCTTGACGGATTTTGACAAAACTTGGTATGAGTGTTCAAAATCACCCAAGGATGAACGTTATGAAAATCA